CCCCCCCCCGACTGTCTCTTGTCCGTCTGGGTCCCTAGGTTCTTCCTGATGTGTTACCTCTTCGTCAACCTGGCCTGCGCCTTGCAGACCCTGCTGCGCACCCCCAACTGGAGACCCCGCTTCCGCTACTACCACTGGTAAGGGGGGTGGGGGCTAGTGGTGAGAGCAGGAGGCCTGGGCTCTCTCCCCAGCTCTGGGAGGGGAGTGGGGGCTACTGGTGAGAGCGGGGGGGCTGGTTCCCGGGCTCTCTCCCCAGCCCTGGGAGGGGAGTGGGGGCTACTGGTGAGAGCGGGGGGGCTGGTTCCCGGGCTCTCTCCCCAGCCCTGGGAGGGGAGTGGGGGCTACTGGTGAGAGCGGGGGGGCTGGTTCCCGGGCTCTCTCCCCAGCCCTGGGAGGGGAGTGGGGGCTACTGGTGAGAGCGGGGGGGCTGGTTCCCGGGCTCTCTCCCCAGCCCTGGGAGGGGAGTGGGGGCTACTGGTGAGAGCGGGGGGGCTGGTTCCCGGGCTCTCTCCCCAGCCCTGGGAGGGGAGTGGGGGCTACTGGTGAGAGCGGGGGGGCTGGTTCCCGGGCTCTCTCCCCAGCCCTGGGAGGGGAGTGGGGGCTACTGGTGAGAGCGGGGGGGCTGGTTCCCGGGCTCTCTCCCCAGCCCTGGGAGGGGAGTGGGGGCTACTGGTGAGAGCGGGGGGGCTGGTTCCCGGGCTCTCTCCCCAGCCCTGGGAGGGGAGTGGGGGCTACTGGTGAGAGCGGGGGGGCTGGTTCCCGGGCTCTCTCCCCAGCCCTGGGAGGGGAGTGGGGGCTACTGGTGAGAGCGGGGGGGCTGGTTCCCGGGCTCTCTCCCCAGCCCTGGGAGGGGAGTGGGGGCTACTGGTGAGAGCGGGGGGGCTGGTTCCCGGGCTCTCTCCCCAGCCCTGGGAGGGGAGTGGGGGCTACTGGTGAGAGCGGGGGGGCTGGTTCCCGGGCTCTCTCCCCAGCCCTGGGAGGGGAGTGGGGGCTACTGGTGAGAGCGGGGGGGCTGGTTCCCGGGCTCTCTCCCCAGCCCTGGGAGGGGAGTGGGGGCTACTGGTGAGAGCGGGGGGGCTGGTTCCCGGGCTCTCTCCCCAGCCCTGGGAGGGGAGTGGGGGCTACTGGTGAGAGCGGGGGGGCTGGTTCCCGGGCTCTCTCCCCAGCCCTGGGAGGGGAGTGGGGGCTACTGGTGAGAGCGGGGGGGCTGGTTCCCGGGCTCTCTCCCCAGCCCTGGGAGGGGAGTGGGGGCTACTGGTGAGAGCGGGGGGGCTGGTTCCCGGGCTCTCTCCCCAGCCCTGGGAGGGGAGTGGGGGCTACTGGTGAGAGCGGGGGGGCTGGTTCCCGGGCTCTCTCCCCAGCCCTGGGAGGGGAGTGGGGGCTACTGGTGAGAGCGGGGGGGCTGGTTCCCGGGCTCTCTCCCCAGCCCTGGGAGGGGAGTGGGGGCTACTGGTGAGAGCGGGGGGGCTGGTTCCCGGGCTCTCTCCCCAGCCCTGGGAGGGGAGTGGGGGCTACTGGTGAGAGCGGGGGGGCTGGTTCCCGGGCTCTCTCCCCAGCCCTGGGAGGGGAGTGGGGGCTACTGGTGAGAGCGGGGGGGCTGGTTCCCGGGCTCTCTCCCCAGCCCTGGGAGGGGAGTGGGGGCTACTGGTGAGAGCGGGGGGGCTGGTTCCCGGGCTCTCTCCCCAGCCCTGGGAGGGGAGTGGGGGCTACTGGTGAGAGCGGGGGGGCTGGTTCCCGGGCTCTCTCCCCAGCCCTGGGAGGGGAGTGGGGGCTACTGGTGAGAGCGGGGGGGCTGGTTCCCGGGCTCTCTCCCCAGCCCTGGGAGGGGAGTGGGGGCTACTGGTGAGAGCGGGGGGGCTGGTTCCCGGGCTCTCTCCCCAGCCCTGGGAGGGGAGTGGGGGCTACTGGTGAGAGCGGGGGGGCTGGTTCCCGGGCTCTCTCCCCAGCCCTGGGAGGGGAGTGGGGGCTACTGGTGAGAGCGGGGGGGCTGGTTCCCGGGCTCTCTCCCCAGCCCTGGGAGGGGAGTGGGGGCTACTGGTGAGAGCGGGGGGGCTGGTTCCCGGGCTCTCTCCCCAGCCCTGGGAGGGGAGTGGGGGCTACTGGTGAGAGCGGGGGGGCTGGTTCCCGGGCTCTCTCCCCAGCCCTGGGAGGGGAGTGGGGGCTACTGGTGAGAGCGGGGGGGCTGGTTCCCGGGCTCTCTCCCCAGCCCTGGGAGGGGAGTGGGGGCTACTGGTGAGAGCGGGGGGGCTGGTTCCCGGGCTCTCTCCCCAGCCCTGGGAGGGGAGTGGGGGCTACTGGTGAGAGCGGGGGGGCTGGTTCCCGGGCTCTCTCCCCAGCCCTGGGAGGGGAGTGGGGGCTACTGGTGAGAGCGGGGGGGCTGGTTCCCGGGCTCTCTCCCCAGCCCTGGGAGGGGAGTGGGGGCTACTGGTGAGAGCGGGGGGGCTGGTTCCCGGGCTCTCTCCCCAGCCCTGGGAGGGGAGTGGGGGCTACTGGTGAGAGCGGGGGGGCTGGTTCCCGGGCTCTCTCCCCAGCCCTGGGAGGGGAGTGGGGGCTAGTGGTGAGAGCGGGGGGGCTGGTTCCCGGGCTCTCTCCCCAGCCCTGGGAGGGGAGTGGGGGCTAGTGGTGAGAGCGGGGGGGCTGGTTCCCGGGCTCTCTCCCCAGCCCTGGGAGGGGAGTGGGGGCTAGTGGTGAGAGCGGGGGGGCTGGTTCCCGGGCTCTCTCCCCAGCCCTGGGAGGGGAGTGGGGGCTAGTGGTGAGAGCGGGGGGGCTGGTTCCCGGGCTCTCTCCCCAGCCCTGGGAGGGGAGTGGGGGCTAGTGGTGAGAGCGGGGGGGCTGGTTCCCGGGCTCTCTCCCCAGCCCTGGGAGGGGAGTGGGGGCTAGTGGTGAGAGCGGGGGGGCTGGTTCCCGGGCTCTCTCCCCAGCCCTGGGAGGGGAGTGGGGGCTAGTGGTGAGAGCGGGGGGGCTGGTTCCCGGGCTCTCTCCCCAGCCCTGGGAGGGGAGTGGGGGCTAGTGGTGAGAGCGGGGGGGCTGGTTCCCGGGCTCTCTCCCCAGCCCTGGGAGGGGAGTGGGGGCTAGTGGTGAGAGCGGGGGGGCTGGTTCCCGGGCTCTCTCCCCAGCCCTGGGAGGGGAGTGGGGGCTAGTGGTGAGAGCGGGGGGGCTGGTTCCCGGGCTCTCTCCCCAGCCCTGGGAGGGGAGTGGGGGCTAGTGGTGAGAGCGGGGGGGCTGGTTCCCGGGCTCTCTCCCCAGCCCTGGGAGGGGAGTGGGGGCTAGTGGTGAGAGCGGGGGGGCTGGTTCCCGGGCTCTCTCCCCAGCCCTGGGAGGGGAGTGGGGGCTAGTGGTGAGAGCGGGGGGGCTGGTTCCCGGGCTCTCTCCCCAGCCCTGGGAGGGGAGTGGGGGCTAGTGGTGAGAGCGGGGGGGCTGGTTCCCGGGCTCTCTCCCCAGCCCTGGGAGGGGAGTGGGGGCTAGTGGTGAGAGCGGGGGGGCTGGTTCCCGGGCTCTCTCCCCAGCCCTGGGAGGGGAGTGGGGGCTAGTGGTGAGAGCGGGGGGGCTGGTTCCCGGGCTCTCTCCCCAGCCCTGGGAGGGGAGTGGGGGCTAGTGGTGAGAGCGGGGGGGCTGGTTCCCGGGCTCTCTCCCCAGCCCTGGGAGGGGAGTGGGGGCTAGTGGTGAGAGCGGGGGGGCTGGTTCCCGGGCTCTCTCCCCAGCCCTGGGAGGGGAGTGGGGGCTAGTGGTGAGAGCGGGGGGGCTGGTTCCCGGGCTCTCTCCCCAGCCCTGGGAGGGGAGTGGGGGCTAGTGGTGAGAGCGGGGGGGCTGGTTCCCGGGCTCTCTCCCCAGCCCTGGGAGGGGAGTGGGGGCTAGTGGTGAGAGCGGGGGGGCTGGTTCCCGGGCTCTCTCCCCAGCCCTGGGAGGGGAGTGGGGGCTAGTGGTGAGAGCGGGGGGGCTGGTTCCCGGGCTCTCTCCCCAGCCCTGGGAGGGGAGTGGGGGCTAGTGGTGAGAGCGGGGGGGCTGGTTCCCGGGCTCTCTCCCCAGCCCTGGGAGGGGAGTGGGGGCTAGTGGTGAGAGCGGGGGGGCTGGTTCCCGGGCTCTCTCCCCAGCCCTGGGAGGGGAGTGGGGGCTAGTGGTGAGAGCGGGGGGGCTGGTTCCCGGGCTCTCTCCCCAGCCCTGGGAGGGGAGTGGGGGCTAGTGGTGAGAGCGCAGCCTGGGGGCATCTCTGTGCTCAGCGTCCCCGATTCCGCCCCTCTGCCGCCACCGTGGGTTTGAGCCCTGCTTGGTACCCGTTCGGCGCCCCGGCTGCTTTCTCTTCCTCCCTCCGATGCCGTTTCTTTTACAGAGGAACAGGCAGGATTTTAGACCCGGGAAGAGCCTTTTTTTGGGTTGGGAACAGGACGGGGCGCTGAGTCATCAAAATCAATCCGGGGCCCCCCACAAGTGAGAAACCAAAGAAAAGACAAACCAAACGCTCGCCGACGTGCCCCCGATCTGAGGAGAGAGACACATTCCCCACTGTCGAGGCTGTTCCCGTCTCTGGCACGATGAATGCAGAAGTGGGGGCCCGCAAACGCAACCCCAAAACCTGATCTCTCCAGGCTTCGGTACAAAACCTCCCCCCGAAATCCTAATATCCGGATTTTGGAAGATAAAACCCGCTGCCCCCTGCCCAAGTATTGGTAAGAGGAAAACCAGGGAGGAGATGGCTTGGGAAATCAGCCCTAAAGTAAAACCAGGACACGCCAGTGACCCCGAACTAAGTTAAATAAAAAAGAAAGAACTTTTCTTATCAAAACAGCCCCCCAGTTACAAGTAGCTGGAGGGGCTAGAGGGTAAGAGCCACCAATTAATAGCCCCGGGAAGGATTGCCCCATGGGCCAAAACTTAGTTGTAAAAGAGGGAAACCCACTTCTAACAGCACAGACACAAGATCCAAATTCCCAGCCCAGAAAACAATGAAACCTGACGGCTGTAGCTAGACTTGACCCTACTTACCCGTGATGGAGTCTTTTTCTTGGGGAGAGACGTGTCCTCTGTCTCCCTCAGTAGCTAGAGAGCAAAACGGGCTCCGAGACAAAGGAGGAAAAACCCCAAATTCCTTTGTCCCTTGGAAATCCTGCAATTCCGTTGGCTGACCGCTACCTGGCTAGGCACAGGGGACATAGTTAACCGTCATGGCCATGACACCAGAGCCTGGGGGGGCGAGGCTGGTGGATTGTGTGTGCCCTGCGCTGGCTTCCCATTGCTAGGGGGGCAGAGCTGAGCCACGGGGGCCGGATCCAGGGAAGTTGGGGGCCGGACCTTAATACCCCACCCCGACTTAAAAAAAACTTCTGTCCACAACTCCTCCCAGGTTTCCCCTCCCCTCTCCTACCCTCACTCCTTCCTCCTCCCACCTCAGTTATGTAAAATAAAAATGAGATTTCCCCCTCTGTGTGTGGCTTGCAGACCATCAAGCACCTGATGGAGGCGGAGCGGGTGAAGGGCTTCTGCCAGCTGGTGGTGGCCGCCAAGGTGCGGGAGGGCATCTCCCACCTCATCCAGTCCTGCGGCCTGGGCGGCATGAAGCACAACACGGTGGTGATGGGCTGGCCCAACGCCTGGCGGCAGAGCGAAGACGCCCGGGCCTGGAAGACCTTCATCGGTACGTGGGGAGGGAAGGGGGGCAGGCTGGGGACGCCCCCTTCTCCGGCAGGGCCCCTCTGACCCCCGTCTGGTCCCCGTGGCGGCAGAGCGAAGACGCCCGGGCCTGGAAGACCTTCATCGGTACGTGGGGAGGGAAGGGGGGCAGGCTGGGGACGCCCCCTTCTCCGGCAGGGCCCCTCTGACCCCCGTCTGGTCCCCGTAGGCACCGTGCGGGTCAGCACGGCAGCCCGCCTGGCCCTGCTGGGGGCCAAGAAGCA